AAGGGTTTTCAAACTACACCCTTGGGACCGAGCGAGGAAGATTAGATCTCATGATATGGAATGAAATTTACAAAATGTAAACATATTCCATTACACATAATTATAGTTGTTATATGGTGTACATAAATTTTACAGTAACATTTATAAGACTATAAAATTATTGCTTAACAGTACATGATAACAGACATGGTCATTTTTTCGGTCACTGATTTGCCAACATTCAACTTGACCAGCAAAGAAATGTTTGTTAGATATCCTGAGATGACATTAACCTCAGTGTTCCTGCCAATATGTTATCATTGAGTTTTGTAATAAGACTGCCATGAATATTTTCATAACCTGCTTACACATAATGCATACTATTTTAAGCGTGTGATTTCAACTTCTGACAATGTATTCATTTGGGAAAATGGTATATTTCCTCACTCACAGGCATCTCCAAAAGAGGTTAGATCTGTTAAGAAAGTGAGATTACAAATAAAGGTTCAGAGAAAAATGGAAACACTGTACTGTTTATTTCAGTCTCTCTCTTGAGTGAAACTTGTCAAAACATTTTGCTTTACCGGGCCATCTTACTTCAGTGTGATAAAGAAGTTTCCTAAGTTAACTTGGCAGAAAGAGTGAGAACTGCCTTTGTGTTAATCCTATTGAACAAATGGAATCAATAGGTTTAACAAACGTTATCATAACTTTAATTTTCATTCTTTAAACTGTTGATGATTATTGCTTCGTATTGCACTTTGTGATTAAAACACTTAATGAGCTGGAGAATGAAGCAAGGAGGGCCATGTTTCAGTTGTTAGAAGACCCCACTGTTGAGCTAGGCAGCATTTTCATATACATTCCCTCCATCTGCATCTATTATTTTTTAGAAGGCATATATCTAAACCAATTGTTGTCTTTATAGTACTTAAGTGTTAAATTTGTTTTTTGAGATGGCACAGCTAAGTGTAAATATTTTCATTGTTTTGAAATGTAAAATATTATTTCATTTTGTAATTGCTATTACAAATATTTTTTTGCTCTGGTTTAAACATTCAGGACTTTGTTGTACTTGCAGATCCAGATAAGAAATGACCGATTAATTCCATATCCATAATTTATAACAAATTTTTTTTAAAACCTTATAAAATAAGGTACTCTTTGACATTTATTGAAATCATCTTTTTAAAATATAAAAATATTGAAATGTTTTATGCTAACAAACCCCCCCAAAAACCCAACATAACTATTAACATTCCATTAACACCAATAAAAAATATTATAAAGTGATATTTTCCATTTGATGCATTGTTAGTCATCAAATACATCACTTAAAATATTATTATAGTCTATTGCTTCTCATTTTGACTTTTTCAAAATAAATATTTTTTATAGATGAAGTTAAGAATTACCATTAAAATTTTTCATTATTAAAGTACTCCACTAAAAGGCTCCCCACTTTTTTTTTCACTTTATATCATGACCAAATAATTTCAATAAAAACAGAGCAGTGAAATATTTTTTTTCTGGCATCCGTCCATTACAACGTGGCGATGGTGTAGACTTCGCAGGACGAAATCACAAGGCCTGGTATTATTTTTTAGGAGTATAAGCTGGTTCCCTACACAGCAAATCTCCTCTCTCCATGCACTTGGATAACCCAAGGGAACATAATATGTGGATGATACAGCTTGGCACCAGTTGTGTTTCAGGAGTTATCCGAATTTTTCATTGTTTCAATGTTATCCGCCTACGGGACTCCCATCTCAGGGTTTGAATTCAGAGTTTGCCTTCTCTTAGATGAGTTGCCATCCAAGGTTAACGAATCCTGTCTTTCTGGGTTGCGGATGATGTTTTTGCTTGACTTGGCTTTGGTGGGGATTTAATTCTAGACCTCGAACTTGGGATTAAATCAGTTTAGACCACTCTGTCACCAAGCACACTAAGTGGAATGTAGTCAAAGACTAAATTATTTAAAAAATCAATAAGAAAGATTTTAAAAAAAAAGAGAAGAAGTCTGGTTTTGAAGAAATTTGTATTCTGTAAGAAAATGTCTTGGAAAAAAAAGCTTAAGCCAGAGTTTTACTCCAAATCAGTGGTTCTCAAACTTTTTTTGTCAACTGCCCCCTTGAGGCCATAAACACATTCTAACACCACACTATCTTAACCTGTTAAAATAAATTTCAGAAAAGTAGTTTTGCACAAGCCTGTGAGGAAAATTATAACTTCATAAAATGAAAACGTGTTACATATACTTAAACATTTTACAAAGAAAGTTGATTATCTTGATCCAGCGATGTCCAAAACTTTTCAGTCTTTTAAAGTAGTATGATTGTAAATTAAGTATTTTATATATGACATTTAATATTAATAACTAACTTTCTTCACTGTTCAAATGTTCTTGATGCTTTGGATGGACTTAGTGACGTGATCAGTTTTTCAATGTCTTGTATAGTCATTTTACAAGACTCTTAAATCGCCTGGTTTAGTAATCTGGAGCCTATTTTTGAGCTTGTTCAAAGTTGAACAACACTAAAACCATGTAACACTAATATGATGTTGGAAAGGCAATTCAACAAGATTTTCTTAAAAACTTTCCTTAGTGCAGGATAAGGATTTGAAATTTCTTTTTTAAGCTGAATAAATCTATTCAATTGTCTTAGTATCGGAAAATGGTTTCATCACCCAATCTGGAATGTTATTCAAAAGTGTATCCTAAATGGTTCAGACATATCTTTTGTAGCATATCCAATGGTCACAAAATACATCATGATCATTATCTGGTATCCCACTTTTATCTTCTAGTTCACACATGCTTGGAATAACTAAATGCGTTTGAACAGAATTAATTAAGATAAAAATGTGGAGATAATTGAATTGGCTTTGATAAGATTAGTCTATTTGCAACTTCAACTGTAAATTTATGTAATGAATTAGGCAAATTTATATGATAAATAGCAATGCCCTTTTTTTTTGTTTTTGAGGATACTACTTCAAGAAACATTTTCATCTTCAAAAAATTCCACTACAGTGTCAAATAAATTTTAAAAGCAATTCAAACACTTGTCGTTTGATAACAAGTGAACTTCAGTAGGCAGAAGTAAAAGTTCAAAATTGTTGTCGCTCTCAGTGCAGCGCTCTTTAACAATTTGCTATATGTCACAAGTTTATTTTCTAACTTCTACTGTTCTCTTTGTAATTTAAAATGCATTGAAATGTAAATTTTCAAAGGGGTGTGAGACTGGAGTCAAACAATTTTTAGGGGGCTTGAGGCTTGATCAAAGAATGCATAGGGGTTGCAGAATATAGAATCAGTTGACTTAAGTCATCTGATCTTCAATCCCTCAGATTGTTCCATGAATTAGTCCCCCTTCCCCCCTTTTTGGTATTTACAAGTTGTAATAAAGCAGAGCAAGATGCTATTTAATCAAACTATATATGTATAACTTTTGACAACCTATCTTTTATATATTTTTTGCAACATTAAAATGGTTAAAAAGACTTATATCCCTTTGCTTTCATTTAAAATAACTTGTGTCCAGTTGGTTCAATATTTAAACTTCTTCAAGGTCAATTTTTAGCAAATGCCCCTTGTCCTAACCTTGTCCTAACCTAGAAAGTTGAAATTAAACCTATCAAAATTTGACACAGATCAGTCTCATTGTTTCTGCTATGTTTTAAATGAAAATTTATTACAAAGTATAATTGTACATGTAGACATGGACATGATGGGATGCCAGTGGTAGTTGATAGGTATTTGAAAATTAAATGAAAAAGCTCAGTTCATTTAGGTTGTTGTGTTACATATGTGAGCTCAAACCCCATCCTTTCCAACTTTTTTCAGATTTGTTTCTCAACTGGTTACATTAAACTACTTCAACAGTTATGAAGGGTTTAAAATGACTAAATTCAACCAGTTATAAACACAATGGTTTAATATGCACATTTCTTAGTTCCTTAATTTTCTCTTGGAATACATAATGCCTAAAATCATTATCTTCGTAAAGAATAATGCAAAATTTATGCACTAAAAATAAATGTAAAAATGGGTCCTTAAAATGTTTGTTTTTTATTCAGATGAAAAGAATATGCTTTGCTCCCAAAGGAATAGTGTCTTTATTTTTGATGGAAAAAAATCAATTTGTCACACATTAATTAGCTCAATGATATTAGTTTACTTAAGTATGGACATTTTGTTGAAACAAGATCCATGGAAATAAAATTGTACATCCTTCACTACACTTTGCTTGTTCTTGACTACAGCTGATCTGTCCATGGCATTGCCTTATACAAAGATATACACAAAGGAAGAGAGCAGTATTTAGGTTGATGGCATAATTGCTTCAGTTGCATGTTGGGATAATTTTTTGCTTAACATGTTTGTAGTCCATTCCTAGTTTAGTTTTTTTTTTAAAACATTCTCATCTTATGTATTGGTAATATCAGTTTTGCATCAAACTGACTTAGTGGTGTATGTAAAGAATTTACTTTGTGACCATGTTAACATAAATTCAGCCTGTTACAACCCTTGAACCATGGATGCTGTTAAAATCACCACCACCAAAATCAAGTCCACTATTATATATATTACCCCAGATATAGATACATATTTAATTCATGTGGTCTGTAAATAGATAAAGTTACATGTTTCTTTTTTTAGATAGAAATTTTCTCTCATCCATACTTAATATAATTTCATAAACTTTAAGTTTGGCCATCATGAGAGAGAGTCTGTGTTTATTCAGCAACCATTGTGTTTATAGGTTTTTTTTTTACAACAGATAAAGGATATTGGATAAAAAAAACGCAAGAAGAACTTTGGCTGAGTATGTTGTATTTTCATCTTGCTGTAAATTCACATTGCAAATGACATCCACGATGTTCACAGCTAACACATTCCACCCATTTCTCTACCTCGCCAGATCAGTGGACCCTCAACACTAGAGAGCCATTCTGCCTACCCTCAATTACCTTCACAAGGCCGAGCTGCCAAATTAAAAGCAGGGATTGTTTATGAATGTGTGTTCTGCACAAGTATGTTTCGCACCGAGGAGGATTTCAGAATTCACACCCAAGTCTGTCAACAACCAGTCTTGTCCTACTGTTGCTCAATGTGCTTTTACAGAGCGGACCAGCAGGAAAGAATTGACAACCACTTGCATGATGCCCACCAAATTCCTCTGCATCAGTTTGTGTGTAAAGTATGTCCTTCTAGCTTTAGAAAACGGATAGGCCTTAAGAAACATATGGAAGTAAAGCATTCAAAAACAGCCCGGTTCCAGTGTCCATTTTGTGGAAAGTTCATGTACAATAAAAATGACTTGGATGGCCATGTGAACCAGCATAAAGGTGTTAAGCCACATTGCTGCTCCTATTGTGGCAAGGCATTTTGCTACAAGTCTTCCATGGGCTCTCATGAAAAACTCTGTGCCTTACAGTGGCCAAAATAACATGAAACTCTTTGCAAATTTTATCAAATTTTGAAATTCATGCACACCGTCTTGTTGTATTTTTGCTTTAAAATGTTCTAAATCTGCCTGATTTAAAGAGTTTTCAATTTTAAAAATTTTAAAATGTAATCATGTAAATATTTGTTGAAATATGTAAACTTTTTTGTTTTGAACGACAAGATTATATTCCTTGCTTATGATGAAAATCATTTAAAATTACTAAAACTATGGTAAAATTATGTCCTCCAGTTTTAAAGGAATGAGATGAGAAAGATTAAATTATTTTAAAAAAAAACAACAACCCACCACTGTTCCTTTGAGCCACAAATTACTGTATTATAATATATGGCTTTGCAAGTAACCAATGGCACCACTATTTCTCTACCTCATCAGATTGAAAAACCAGAGGACAGCCTCGGTGACCAGTTTCCCAATAGAGATGACAGTTCACCTCAGATCAAAATTGGGAAAATCATGCATGGCTCACCCGTAACATTCAATTATGACTCTCAAATAAAATCAAGCAATCGGGACATGTCCCATTCAGCTGTAACCTTCCACTGTTCAATGTGCCACTTTAAGTCTGCATCACAGGAGCAACTTGAACACCATGTGAACCAGCACCACCAATCCCAAGCTGATGTGATCCCATGTACCCAGTGTGGTGCTGTTTTTAAAACCCAAACTGGCCTCAAAATGCATATGGAGGTTAAACACACTACGAACCCGACTTTGAAATGTCCCATATGTGGTAAAAGCATGTACAACAAAATGAACCTCGATGGTCACATCAACCAACACAATGGGGTCAAGCCACATGTGTGTACTTATTGTGGGAAGAATTTTTCTTACAAGCAGTCGCTTAGTGCTCATGGAAAGATGTGTGCGATGAAACATATATAATCCTTGATTTTGGGCTAGTCATAAATGTAATGACTTTACATGGGCATCTGAAGAGTTTGTTGACTTCCCTGTTTAAGATTTACAGAATTGTTACAAATATAAATACTGTACTATAATTTTTTGCATATATTTCATTTAAAATATGTAATAGAGCTTTGGAATTATCTCATATATAAAAACTTTATAATCGAAATAAAGAAACACTGATAACATCTCTTGGACAGCGGTTTTAAAATTCTCATACAAATAATACAAGTGTAATTTTAACATGAAGCTGGTGTATTTAATAACTATTAAATAGATGCACTTAAGTGACCTGACATGATAATTCATTCAAAAATTGCTTTATAAAAATATAGAGATTCTTGTAAAAATATCTTTAAGCAATGCTGTAATTTAATTACTCACATTGTTTATTAGATATTGTGCTTATGTTTCGACATATTTTCAATAGCCTTTGTTCACAAACTATTGCTACTAGGCTGAGAAAATGTTAGTGTATACATTTTTTTCAATGAAGTTAGTTGATTTGAAATGTACCCTTTAAAAAAAATATGATACAACTGTTGACATAAAACCAATTATCATTTTTTTGCATTTTTGATAATGAGATATTTTGTCAAAAGCATAGCTTTTTTTGGAATGAATGTGATCTATTTTCTTTTGATTACTTTTGCAATGCTTGAACCCAAACAAATGTTGCTTATTTCTACTTTCTCATATAAGAGTCAGTTTAGTAGATTTGTAATATTAATTTACCACTCAAGCCATGTCCTTTAAAAAATGGATCAAAAAGGTTTTTTCTGATAAAGCATGACATTATTTGCATAATATTTATAATGATTTCATTATAGTTTAGTTTTAGGAGGGGTATACATTATCCATAATCACTTTTAAGGAAGAATTATTTTTTATTATTTTTAAATAATTAAAGAAGGTAGGGAAAAATATGCATCCATCAGGGATTGAAACGCAGTACAAACATGCACATTTTGTTTACCAGGAGCCAACAAGCTTCCAACAAGTTTCATCAGAAAAAACATTTTCATTTAAATTGACTATGTATGATGCTATTTAAAAAAAGGGACACCTTGCTTGTTGTGTGATGCTTCTTGTTATTGGGAATTATTTTCCTTCTGGACATACATATTTTCATATAATTTGAATTAACATGGTAATTATATTGTTAGAATTTTTTTTGATGTGCTTTTTGATTGAGGGATGGACATTTTTGAAACAACTTTATGCTATCATAGGTCAATTAAAACTTTCTGTCTCATCAGCCATTTTGTTTCTTGAGCACCATGACAACAATGTAGAAATATGAGCTACTGTGGCCTAGAGAAATTTGTGTAACTTTGTTTTACTCTCTGAGGACAACATTGGTCTCAATTTTATCTTCTCATCTACCAACCAGGTCCCTTGCGACATTCCACCTCAAGCCTCCACTTTTCTACATTATCAGATGCGACATCAACCGCGGGCATCATCACACAATGCATTTGAGTGCCATACTTGCTCACTATTCTTTGCACAACCCGAAGCACTTAATGCCCATGCACTTGTCTGTAACATGGCTGGGAAAGAGCACTGTTTCCAGTGTAGGGTTTGTCCTGATGTGTTTAAAACCATCACAGAATATAATCACCACATGTCAGATATACATAAGTTTATATCCTGTGCGGAGTGCAGTACCTGGTGTCCGTCCAGAGGTGCTCTGAAAGGGCACATTCAACGAAAGCACAAGCCCAAGTATGTGTGTAACATCTGTTATAAGACCTTCCACTGTACCATCAACTACAAAGGTCACATGAACATGCACACTGGTGAGAAGCCGTACAGATGTTCTTGGTGTGGGAAAGCCTTCACTTATCAGCAGTCACTTATGGCTCACCAAAAATTATGCTCACAAAACAAATTCTGAGATATATGAGTATGTCATTATCTGGTGATCAGTTCTTTTATATGAAAACTAATTACTGTATGGAAAGTTATAGTTATTTGTTTGGAACTTTCACACCCTACTTCTTGCTTATATTAAATTCAAATTATGTGATTTTTACTTTTGAAATTCAGTAATGACAAATTGAGAAGAATTAATGTTATTACTTTTCAACATAAAATGTAAATACCATTTCAACGGAGTGATTCAATCAACAAAAGAAGCATCAACTTATAATCTCAGTGTGACCATTATCTGCAAATATAATAAAACAAAATATTACATTTGGTTGTGTTATTTTGTTAAATAATCTATTCATGTTCTTACTTGTTAATAGAAAGATGACTTGTAACATGTATAAAAGCAGGTGGTTTAGAAATGTTTCTCACTGCTGCCATACTGGATATAACCCCCTCCTCCAAGTCCTAACTAAAACAGTTAAAGGAAGTATATTGGATAGCTAGATAATTTTGTAGAACATGTTACTTGATAAGTATTTGTTTTATATTTTTTCCAGTTCACTATATCAGTAAAGGTCAAGGGTAAAAAAATATATGATTGATTCCTAAAACAATGTTTTAGGAAAATGATGTTTCAATATTTTTGTGTTGAGTTCTTGTGTTTTGTTCACTTTTTGACAGTTTTGTTTCTCTTTTATAATCATAATAGAAGGCCCTTAGGTTGAAACTGGAAAATTGTACGAGATTTTTTCCCCTCAGCTTTTTAACTGGTATGATGTAGATTTACATTATTAAAAATGTTTGCAAGCTACAACTTAAAAAAAGGTGTCAAAGTGTTTTTGATGGAATTTTGAACATGTTGAAACAAGGGATAGAATTTGATCTTAATAAGATAGGTTTAGTTCATTTGTTTTAATGAAAAACTTTTTAAGAACTTATCTTTCAAGGGATAATGTTTTAATTATGCAATCTATTTTTACAATTTCTTTGAATTGAAAATGTCTCAACATTATTGTGTAAAAACATTTTGCCCTCACTTAAAGTCACTAATTTGTACTGGCGATGTGACCATTGGCCAAAGTGATGTTAAAGGGTTAGGTAACTCTAGGTAATAGTTGCACAGACACAGAGCTAGAAATAGGCTTTACTCAACGTCACATGTTTCTGTAGTTATTACCAATTTTTTAAATGGATATTACTTAACGTATAACAGGGTAGAGACATCCAACATGGATTAAAAAACACAAAACTGTATAAAAGCATTGTTTATCTTAATCGTTCACATGCCAAGCTTGAGGGAATGGAGAGATCTGAGAAAGATTAATGTTATAAAGTTCTTTTACATAATATACTCCAGCAGGAGATGCTTTCATTTCTAATATTGAGGTTGAAGAATTAAAGTTTTTGTGTGAATAGTAAATATATATAGCTTTATAAGCCAAGAGGCAACTGTATGGGAGAGAGACTCCTAAATGTTTCACATGAACCTCCATTTATAGGGGCAAATATGGAGGATGCTTTTTTCTTTTGTGGTCTTTTATGTGCCTCATCCCTTGAGGTGTCTTGTTAATATATATGCTGTTTGTGATGAATTGGGGGGTGGGGGGAATTTGTGTAAATGGAACTGTCAGTGTTTTTTAGGTGATGAAAAGCCCCCATTTGAGTCAACATGACCTTCTAACACACTGGTACTCAGAAATTTTAAAGAATTTTTTTAAAATTATAACAAAGACTGAGAAAAAAGATATCAGGCTGGATTTGGGCAGCAGGCCATAGTTTGCCAAAATTTGATGTAATCTATTCATTTTCTTCTTTTAAATTTGACATTGTCCTCTCTTTAAAAGAGTTCATGTATATGTTAAATGGTCTTCTTGTGTGATGTGAAATGCTTGGCTCTCCTAAACGCTTTTCCAAGATTCCACCAAATGTTTCCTCCTCTTCTGGGTCATCCTCACCATCATTCAGATTTCATTGTCTTTACTGGAAGTAAAGAAAGAACAAACATGTATATTAGTAGAAATTAGAACCTAAATGAAACCATTTTGTTATGTTTTTAAATTTTTAAAACGTGGGGCATTTGTTAAAGGTCGAGTGTACTCCATGTAAACACAGTTATGTTTGAAAATTAATTTTCATTTTTGTTACGGTATTTTTTTTGTTTGTAATCGGTGATGACAGATTATTTTTAAGTTTTTATATCCTTCCTAAAAGTAAAATATAATGTGGCTAACTCTACTAATTGTTGTGCTGTGTTGTTGACACATGAAACATACACACAGAGTTCAAAGGTTGTCTTTTTTTTCTAACTTTATTCCACCAGGGGGAAATGGAAAGAGAAAAAGCAAGTGGTGGAGGAAAACGCAGTGCCTCTGAACTTTTAGGGAAGTTTGCAGCATATGAATGTTCCTATTGTTCTGTCATTGTCACAGACTATGATGATTTGAGTCTACACAATAAAAGCTGCCCCTCTCCCTCCTGCAGTATGATCTGTCTGACCTGTGGGGAAAAGCTGCCCAGCAAACCAGAGATGAGACAGCATCTGAAGTTGATGCACAATCATAAAACCTTTGGGTGCAAATTCTGTGACATGATGTTCCTCAGCAGTTCTGGTCTGCTTAGTCACACCAAGGCCAAGCATAAACCTGATCCAAAAACTCTGTGTCAGGTTTGCGGCCAAGCTTTTCACAATCGGGCCAACCTGGAGGGGCACATGAACATGCATTTGGGTATCAAACCTTTCAAGTGCAAAAAATGCGGCAAAGGGTATGGGCATTCAAAATCTCTGATGACACATGAAAAAATGTGTAAGAAGTCAATGATATCCCTGGGCAAAACCAGATCTCAGTCTAATCTCAATCATCCTCCACTCTCCTCAACCAGTGGTTCCACCCCCCTTCATCCTCGTAAGGTACAAGTGCCTGTAGGAAATAAGAGAAATGCCCCAGCCTCTGATCAATCATTCTCTTTCAATGACTCCTACCCACCTTTTGTGGACTCTAAAAAATTGTGCAACGATGGTTCTGACTTGGAGGACCTACAACATCCTGTCCAACCGTATAGCTATAGTGGTCCCTCTTATGAGCCTCTACAATCTATGGCTTTGACCAACATGGCCAACCCTAGCAATGCAAGTGGAGCCGTCAACAACAGTGTCTATGGGCAGCCAAACAATGAATTTGTTCTTCCACATGTTGGTTATGATATGTACCCACAAGAAATGTTACAACAGGGCCATAGATAATAATTAGCTATTAATTATGTACAAATGTTTAATATCTAAGATTCAAGAGTTGAACCAATCTATGACAATAGAAAGAAAGCGGTAATGCAGAAGAAAGGAACTTCTTTTAATTTAGAAAGGTGAACTACTGAAGTAGTTTTTTCATTATTTTCTAACTTCCTTTTTAAAAATTTGTTTGTGAAATAAAAAATAATTTTTATCCACTGCAATGATGACTTTAAAAATTATTATTATTATTTTTTAAATGGTTTATAGGCCATGAATATATTCTTAAGTTTTGTTACATTATTAATTATTGTTGGGTGCGGAGTGGTCTAAATTTAGTCGATCCCAAGCTTGTGGTCTGGAGTTCAATGTCCATCAAAGACCCAGTCAAACAAAAACATCAAGTGGATGGAACCCGTAATTCTTGGATGGCAACTCATCTAAGAGAAGGAAACTCTGAATTTAAACCTGGAGATGGCGTCCCGTAAAACAGATAACATTGACAAAATGAAAAATGCCAAGTCCTTCTGTGACGCTACTGGTGCCAGGCTGTATCATCCACATTTAATATTCCCTTGGGTTATCCAGGTGCGTGGAGAGAGGCAATTTGCTGTATAGGGAACCAGCTTATACTTGTAAGAGAAAAAAAATCCCAGGCCTTGTGATTTCATCCTGCGAAGTCTACACCATTGTCACATTGTGACAGACGGATACCAGAATTATTTTTGTTGTTGCATTAAACCACACAGAAAAGTAATTTTTGGCTCTTATAGATTATTATTATTTTTTTATTTTAAAAAAAAAAAATTTTTTTTAATTACTTTTGTACCGCGCTTCGAGCCTTTGGGGATGAAGCGTGTTTTTGAAATACACTTTATTATTATTATTATTAGTCTTATTTTGTTTGTTCATTATTACTTTTTCTTGGTGCAAGAACTGTTAAATTTCATACCTGGTTAATTAACTATGACTGAAGGACAATGGGAGCATGGGTGGGATTGATGAATGAATATATTAACTCTTATTGTGTGTGAGACATACCAATTTGTGTTGCCTTGCTCTTTTGATGCAGTTTTGCAAGAAGCATTTTTATAGTCGTCTGTATTTTTATTTTATAATTTCCAAAAGAAATATAACAAAATATTCTTTAAATAAAGATGTTGTAATGAAAGTGAAAACAAATTGATTTTTTTATATTCAATGTTGAAATTGAAATTACATTATTATCCATTTTAAAACTTGAATTTTATTAAAATTATTTTAAAAATGTAAATTTCCAATAAGAAACTTAGAAAATACCACACCAAAAATAAACACACACACACACAAAAATAACGTAGTTATTTCAAAACTTTTGCGACCTTTTGAAAAAATATTATAATTTTACACTTAAATAGTTAGCAACAGTGTTTTTGTGAAGAAAGGTGGAGGATATGGGTTGGGTAAAACAAAATTGAAAAACTTGCTTGACATTAAACCTGTACTTGTAATTTCTGAACAATATTCATAATTCTATAATTCTTAAAAAGTCATATTTGAAATATGATTTGTACACCTGACAATTGACTTTATCCAACTTGATTATGGACACACAAAAATCATTTATTTAAAGTAAACATAAGTTTATCAGTCAGTTATCCATATTTAAACATGTCCTGTCTAAATGAATGGGTTCAACACATGCACCTGGAAGGCAACAGCTTGATTTTATTTCTATTATATGATTCAATTTTGTAAATGTAATGTAACCTAAAAGGTAAAATGTTAACGTTATTGACTTAAGTTATGTTAATGTT